CACGATCACCAGTCAAATTCAGACCTATATTGTAATTAACGCGTTCCCAGATAGGGAATTGAATGACAATCGCTATACTCTTGGATACCTGTGAGTAAGACGGGCCCAGGCTCAATGGATAAACGGTGGCAGACGAGCAATGGCAGCGACCAATGAAGAAGAATCTTGACGAACTAATTGATAATTATTCTGTTTCGGAAATTTGAGTAATTATGCGATGTGATTGCGTCACATACATTCACATTTTGGTTACAGTTATTATAATGTCATTCTTGGCTTATCTACTCTTCTGCATCCCTACTCGTTGCCTCCTCTCTCTTTCTCTCTCTGAACCACACAAATATCGTCCAGCACCTGTTTATGACCTTTCCACGGGTTGTAGCCATGGCTGGGATCCTGTCCTGCGTGAGTGTGGCCGTCCTCGTCTACTTCGTGCATCACGTGCGACTGTTATTTTGCAACCAAACCGCCTACGAGTACGATCGATTGCGGGCGTTGTCCAAACACGGTCGGTTCGGCTCACCGAGCATAAACAGCGACCACATGTCTCGACGAAACGCGTACTATGCTGGCCTCCCAATCCCCAAGTCATGGCTCTACAATCACGGGCTTTGGGCTAATTTATATGAGGTGTTTGGATGCCAAACCACAAATTCACTGCGTGAGCTTCGTCGACGACTTCCTGTACAGATGGAGTTCAAAACACGTTGAGTATCTGGCCGTTTGCTTGATTGTGTGGTGTGGCTCTCCAATTGACAGAATTTGGTAACAATCATGTGGTTCAAATGGTGATCTGCTCAAATTGATGTCCGCATTTATCATCATCTCTATCCATATTTGTTTTGTTTGACATTTTTTCTTATTGTATTGTTTATTTCAAAAAAAATCATCATTTTCCTGGACAAGAATCCTGTGTCATATCTCCACTTTGTTTCCCGATAGCCAAGCATGCTTGAATTACTGTTCTCAATGTAAATGAACAGTGGTCATTTGGTCTTGTTCGTCCGGGGAAAAATGAACACCGATTTTCTTGGGCCTCGGAACAAATGCGATGTTTCACATTCGAAGGTGGATGAGGTGCTGTTCTACCGGTAGATTTTCGATTCTCATATCTGTGTTGACATAACGATTACAGTTAGAAATCGACTGGAGACAGAGTACACAAGTTAAGTAAAAGCAAAGATCACGTGATGGATTTTCACATTTGTTTAAGAGAAAGCGTTATCTAAATCGGTAATAATAGCATAGATTCAAAGTCAAAGTTTTATTATGGGAAATACTTACCAGCGGTTGCTTTTCTAGTCCCATAGGATACGGCACAGATGAATCGGTTCACAGTACATACAAAGTAGATGAATGTCACAATGTCACAATTTGTCCTTGTTTCGTGCACTGTTACGGATGTTGAAATTTAAGACTTTTCAAAGCTTCATTCCGTTTGTGCTTGAATGAATCAGTTGTTGGTGCAGAGACAACGTGTGGTGGTAGAGAATTCCAAGTAGTGCACACCGCGAGGGCGAATGAATGCCGCCGGCATTTTTGGAGCACTAATTTGAATGAGTGCCCCCTCAGATGAGTGTTAGACGACATGGGTGATCTGGGTTCTGCATTATTTTCTACACCAAGATCAAGTCCCCTGGAATGCGGCGATAATGTGTGGAGTACAGTTGCGGTGATTCCAGTCTTTCGCATAACTCTTGGAATGCAGTCCTTTGACCATTTTGGTAGCCATTGTTTGTGGACGTTCCAGAATCTTTTGATCGCGTTGCAGCCATGGATTCCATGCTTGAATGGCGTACTCTGTGTGGGGTCGAATTCAGGCTGATAACAATCTTGGGAACAGCATTGGTTAAAATTTGCCAAA